ACCAGAAAAGAGCAGGCGCTTCCTAATATCCTTTCTGGTGAAGACTGCTATAAAGAAACATCCTAAGCTTCCTCAATGTTTCGCTTTAATCCCTAGTGCTCCAGCAGGCTCTTTTATTGCTTTTTAGGCTTCCTGCTTCAAATATGCTTGTTTGTTTTTAACACCGTTAACTATTTGCTTTTCAGAATCCTTCTAGACAGCTCAGATTTTGCTCTAACTTTTTGGCTTCTGTAATTTAAACTCTTTATAGCTTCACAGTGTCAGATTGCTAAATTTGAAGGATTTCTGTTTGGCTCAAATATCTCCTTTGACCTTGCCATTTAGCTGTATTGGAGTACTCCTTGCTGGTTACCTTTTAATTCAAGTCTTTGGAGATTTTTTTTAGGAGAGTATATACCACTTCTATGTATTTTATTTTCTTACCTTTTAACTTACTGGTCTTTTTCTACTAATATAATTTTATTAAAATCTCCTTTTAAAAATATTAGTGTTCTGTTCTTCATTTTTCAGTATCCTTCCTATCCCCTTGGAAGTTGAATCTTGGTGCTTCTTAGAACAGCTAGCAAAAAACTCAAAAAGTAATAGTAAAATGTTTAAGTACTTCAGAAGCAGGAAGCCGGCTAAACAACCAGTGGGGCCCTTGGACGATCGAGATGCTAAAGGCGCATTCAAAGATGATAAAGTCATAGTGAAGAAGCCAAATGAATTCTTTGCTTCAGTCTTCATGGCTGAGGATATTGGGGAGATTCCCAAACATGAGCCATTCTTTTTAGGTGACAAATTTGAGGAATTGTCCCAGGTTGAGCTGTCATTAGAGGAGGTTTTGGAACAAATCAATAAACTTTAACAATAACAAGTCACTGGGACCAGATGGCATTCACCCAAGAGTTCTAAAAGAACTCAGATGGAAAATTGCGGAACTATTAATTGTGGTTTGTAACCTATCCTTTAAATCAGCTTCTGTACCTAATGATTGGAAGATAGCTAACATGACACCAATGTTTAAAAAGGCTCTAGAGGTGATCCTGGCAATTACAGACCTGTAAGTCTAATGTCAGTACTGGGCAAATTAGTTGAAACCATAGTAAAGAATAGAATTGTCAGACACATGGATAAATATCATTTGTTGGGGGAAAGTCAGTATGATTTCTGTAAAGGGAATCCATGCCTTATTAATCTGCTAGAGTTCTTTGAGGAGATTAACAAACATGTGGACAATGGGGATCCAGTGGATATAGTATACTTAGATTACAGAAAGCCTTTGGCAAGGTCCCTCACCAAAGACTTTTAAGTAAAGGCTCTTGTTTTGGGGTAAGAGGGAAGGTCCTTTCATGGACTGAGAACTGGTTAAAAGACAGGAAGCAAAGGGTAGGAATAAATTATCAGTTTTCTGGATGGAGAGAGGTAACTAGTGGGGTCCCTCAAGGGTCTGTCCTGGGACCCATCCTATTCAACTTATTTATAAATGATCTAGAGAAAGGGGTAAACAGTGAGTGAGGTGGCAATATTTGCAGATGGTACCAAACTGCTCAAGATAGTTAAGACCAAAGCAGACCATGAAGAGCTTCAAAAAGATCTCATCAAATTAAGTGATTGGGCAACAAAATAGCAAATGAAATTTAATGTTGATAAATGTAAAGTAATGCACATTGAAAAAATAATCCCAACTATATACAATATGATGGGGACTAATTTGGCTACAATATTCAAGAGAAAGATCTGGAGTCATTGTGGATAGTTCTCTGAAAACATTTAGGGTATGTCTACACTACCACCCTAGTTCGAACTAGGGTGGTAATGTAGTCAACCGGAGTTGCAAATGAAGCCCGGGATTTGAATTACCCGGGCTTCATTTGCAACTCCGGTTGACTACATTACCACCCTAGTTCGAACTAGGGTGGTAATGTAGTCAACCGGAGTTGCAAATGAAGCCCGGGATTTGAATTACCCGGGCTTCATTTGCATGTTGCCGGGGGCCGCCATTTTTAAATGACCGCTAGTTCGGACTCCGTGCTGCGCCGCTACACGCGGCACGAACTAGGTAGTTCGGACTAGGCTTCCTATTCCGAACTACCGTTACTCCTCGTGAAACGGAATAGGAAGCCTAGTCCGAACTACCTAGTTCGTGCCACGTGTATCCGCGTGGCACAGAGTCCGAACTAGCGGTCATTTAAAAATGGCGGCCCCCGGCAACATGCAAATGAAGCCCGGGATTTGAATTACCCGGGCTTCATTTGCAACTCCGGTTGACTACATTACCACCCTAGTTCGAACTAAGGTGGTAGTGTAGACATACCCTTACTCAGTGTGCAACAGCAGTCAAAACAAATAGAATGTTAGGAGTCATTTAAAAAGGGATAGAGAATAAGACAGAAAATATCTTCTTGCTTCTGTATAAAACCATGGTACACCCACATCTTGAATACTGTGTACAGATGTTGTTGCCTCATCACAAAAAAAGATATATTGACATTGGAAAAGGTTCAGAAAAGGGCAACAAAAATTATTAGGGGTTTGGAACAGGTTCCATAGGAAGAGAGATTAAAAAGACTTAGACTTTTCAGCTTAGAAAAGAGGAGACTGAGGGGGAATATGATAGAGATTTATAAAATCATGACTGGTGTGGCAAAAGTGAATAAAGAAAAGTTATTTACTCATTCCCAAAATATAAGAAGTAGGGACCACCAAATGAAATTAATAGGCAGCAAATGAAAAACAAACAAAAGGAAGTTTTTCTTCGCTCAGCATACAGTCAGCCTGTGGAACTTCTTGCCAGAGGATGTGGTGAAGGCTATAACTTTAACAGGATTCAAAAAAGAGCTAGATAGATTCATGAAGGTTAGGTCCATCAATGGCTATTGTCCAGGATGGGTAGGAATTGTATCCCTAGCCTCTGTTTCTCTGGAGGTTGGTGACGGGAGGAATCGTGAGGATTACCTGTTGTGTTTTCTCCCTCTGGGAAATCTGGTATTGGCCACTGTCGGCAGACAGGATTTTGGGCTAGATGGACCTTTGGTCTGACTCAGAATGGCCGTTCTTATGTTCCCTCTGTCTAAATGCAAATTACGCTATTTCTTTCCCTGGGGATTTTGTGTGGTTTCATTAGTTACTGATAAAGCTGAAATCCTTGGCTAAATAGCATGGTAGAAGTACAGTATGATGTTAAGAACCATAGTTTATAAACCTTTAAAAATTGTGTATGTTTTTATCATATTATCACAGATATCTCTTTGAAATGGATCTCTGCAGTTCTAAATAATACTCAGCAAATCAAAGAAACCTATGTTTATTAATAGGATCTACTCCAAAGCTTTTTTTTTCCCCCAGAGGTTGATTTCTTTGATAGTGGGTATTTTCACAGATATTTTCTCTGAATGGAAATATCCTGGCCATTTCTTATAATGAATCAATAAGAGTATTTGTAGATGTACTTTAGATGGCATGCTGGGGATAGGAGGACAACAGATGGCCTTGTGGATTTTGAGCATGCCACCTCTAAATGTATGAGTCCTGTGTACTAGGCATCGTACATATACATTTAAAAGAGTTCCCTGCTCCAAAGTGTTTGCAAACCAAGGGCCCAGTTCACAAATGGTTAGCTTAACTATTGTGAAGTCCCATTGAAGTCAGTGAGGTTACTTGTGATAGCAAAGCTAAGCACGTATATAAGGGTTTGAAGTATTGGAGCTTCCATTGCAAAGATTGGTCAGTGCAAATTACATCTCTGTACAGCTACCAAAATGTGTTCATTGCTGCTGCATATGCATACTTGCACTAATGCTGTGCATGCTCATCAAGAGTCTCTGTGTCAATGTACTAGGTATTCCAGTGCCTTGCTGTCTGGCACAAATGCCGTTTGGGACATTTTTTCAGTAATTTGTGGGACAGTAGCAAATCATCCAGGGATTTATGGGAGCGAGGGGTCAAGTTCCCACTAAGGACGTTAAAGACTCGTCGACTACCTGATAAGCATTTGACTAATCAACTAGTTGATATCCCTCCCCCCGCCCCACTGCCTCTATGAAATAGAGGCAGCAAAGGGGGGGAGGGGTACTTCAAAGTGGCAGCATCTCACTATCAGGTAGTGTTAAGGGACAGGACAGAGGCGTTCCCAGCTGACCCCGGGCTCCATGGCTGCCCCTTTGAAGCCCCAAGGCAGCATTTCAAAAGGACAGCTGCTGCACAGCTGATCCATGGATCAGCTGTGCAGCGGCTGCCCCTTTAAAATGCTGCCTCCGCATTTCAAAGCGGCAGCCGTGGATCCCCCAGCTTACCTTGGGCTCCATGGCTTTGAAATGCACAAGAGTTCCCGCTGCGGACTCTTGTGCATTTCAAAGCAGGCACACTGCGTGCAGCCTGGAGTCAGCGGGATTTCCCGCTGACCCGGGCTGTACCCGAGTTCTGCATTCCTCCTTTGAAATATACAAGAGCCCCTGTTGGGGCATTTGTACATTTCAAAGTAGGAATGCGGAAGTGCCAGTCAACTAGTCAGTTAACTGCATTTTAACATCGTTAGTTCCCTCCGTACTGCTTTCTACATCCCACAGTGCTATCCATATCTCATTATTTTTGCACTGTTTTTTCAAAATTCCCATAGCTCCTCAGAGTGCTTTCTGGTGTCCGCCATCTGTCTGACAGAAGCTTGGAGCCCACAGAACTTAGTTTGATTGTTGGATTGTATCATCTTTAGGGAAATTAGAAGTCAAGTAGTGACACATTTGCTTAGTTGTGTATTTGTTTGCATATTCTTTTAATACATTTATTTAAAAAAGACCCACTGGACTGGTTCCCCTCTAAACATTTTTGAGAGAACACAATGTATTTGGAGGGAAAAGGTAAATACATTGATTTGTTCCTGTATTCATATTTTAATTACTTGATTAAAATCCTATTACCATTGCATAAATTGTTTCAAACCAAGTTGATAAACAGATTTTTGATCTCTGGATGATCATAAAATTTATTATTCCCATTGCATTGTTTTTGTTATATATATGCAGGTGACCATTATGGTCAGACTTTTCAGAGAGGCCCTGGTGGTTTCAGAGAGAACTACCGCAAGAAAATGCATTTGACATCCAACAGTGCAAGGTTTATCTGTCTGACTGAAATGAAAAGCAGCACGTAAGTACAGTATATAATAGAATTATCCATGACATTATCCTTTACTTTAATAAAAGTGAGCTTAATGAAGTGTCCTGACAACTTGATGATAATCTGATAAAATCAGTTTTGATTTTTCAGATGAGTTTTTCAGATAACTTTTGCTCTTTTTATTGTTACAGTACAGAAATACTAAGTTAAAATCACCAACTTTATATACATTCAATAATTTATTTGAGGCTCTGAATTATTAGTAATACAGTGTGAAGTTAAATATCATTAACTAAGTTAAAGGGAGAGATTTTCTATTCTAAGCAGTGAGATAAAATGAATAAAAAGTGCTTTCTCTGGCTTTGTTCCTCCTCCCACTGAAGGAAAGATTTTTTTCCTCCTCTTTTTCTCCCAGTCACATGTTTTGCTGCCAGGTATCCATATCTATGACTTCATGTTTGGCTTTCATTGTGTAGGTCTACTACGAAGAGGCTGTTCAACACTTCACATACAACAGTGGATTCAAAAGAGATGAAAAAATTCCAGTTGTTGGCTCATACATGGTGGGATGAGCATGGAGTATATTCTGCCCTGCATTCTTTGAATGATATTAGAGTGCCATTTATTAGGTACAGTTTTGGACGTACTTTTGTTGTTCAATGTTATTTCCAAACAGCTGTTTTAAAATGGTATAGTGTAACTAGACAGAAAATGAAACATAACTTGTTGAATAATTATAGCTTAAAATTAACACAAATTTTAAAGAAATCTTTCAGTTAAACCATTATGTATTTTTGCACTTATGTATGTACACTTTATTTCAGAGATACTCTATTGAACATAAGTAGTGATCATCACTTGGGAAGCCCTCTGTCTGGTGTAAAGATTCTAGATGTCGGCTGTGGTGGTGGATTGTTAAGTGAAGTAAGAAAAACAGTTTGTTATTCTCGTGTCTCTCTAGCTAAGGAATTTAGGAAGATTTTAAAAGGTGATCTGTTTATTTAATTCCTAAATCTCCAAGGAAGAGGAGCCTTTGGCCCTTTTCTGCAATATTGGTACACTGATAAATGCTTTTTTTGGAGTGCAGTAAATTCTACAAACCACATTCAGTATTTGGCTTTAAAAAAGTCCATGACATGTTTTTTTAAAAACAACTGTGCTCCATCAAGAAAAGAGAAACCTGTAGGAACAGATGCTAAAACCTTAAGATTAACCAACAATCAGATTATTCAAATGTCACAAACATCAAAATAGCATCAACCTTTCTAGGATTCCTTTTGAAAATCATTGCAAAATAACTTTTTCAGGAATGGGGGAGAGAAAGGGGAAAACTGGTAAAAATCACTTTTTATCATGACCACTTTTGTTAATGAAGTAATGTGTGTTCCATTATAATCTATTTTCACATGCTTGTGGTTTCTGAAACAGTCACCTTCTGGGCTTAAATTTTCCATATTGAGCAAAGTTTTCACCTCTGTCTTGTCCCTTACCAATACTTGATAGTCCTGGGGAGGTACAAAGGGGCCCTAAAAGCCTTTATCTGGCAGAAGGAGCATTCCTTTGGTGCTGGGGACATCTGTAAAGATGCTTCAAGAGGACCCTTTCAGAAGCCTTTGTAGGGTTGTATTGAGGATGAGAGTGTAACACACACATGCTGGTCCTAGACTGGTCCCCATGGTGTCTAAGTTACACTGGAGACCTCTCCAGCTCCCAGATCAGCCCAAGGTCAGGAGGGTACAAAGGTGGCTTTTGAAGCTTTTGCACTCAAAGATGTAGCATGAACACTCGCCTGATCTTGGGTCTCTGCACAAAAAAGATTCACCTCCTTCCTACCATTTTTGGTAGCTAGAGGTAAATCTTTTTTAACCATGAAAGAGTGAACAATGTATATTTTGACCCTGTTGTAAAACAATTCCTACCTCACCTCTCTCCCATCTTCACCCCTTCCAGCTTATACAAGCCAACTACAGCAAAAGCTATTGAAATGGAAACTTGGTATGGTCTTAATCTGCAGTGAAGATTAGAACCTTTGATTTAAAAAAAATTAAAACAAATGGTTTCTATTTAAGAAAATGTTGACTGACTGAAAATTTTACATGAGCATTAGAAAATATTGCAGATATGTGCTTAAGAGTAGCTACACGGTGCATGTGTGTAGTTAAGTTTTCACTGGCTGGTTCAAAGTCAAACTCTGAAGGATGAATGATTATGGACAAGGAGCTTTCAAGGTTTTCTGGTAAATCCTGTGGGGCTTGTAACTTTCACAAGCTTTTAATTTAAGTTCTAATAACATTGTGGTTGTATTGCACAAAGTTTTCCAGTTTCAAGAGACATCAACATATGAGAGAGAACACACTGTCACTTTCCTAGTAAACATCTGTGTGTTCAGTTTTCAGCATTGACTAGTTATCGTAGATGCTTATGTCTATAGCAACCATAAAAAAGATGTGGATTCACCATTACCGATAGATTTAGAGAAAAGGAGTGACCATAAATGTAGATTAAACAACTAAAGGGAAAAAATGGGTATCTCTATGGTAGTTGCAGTGGAGAAAATCTGCACTCATGGTAAATTGAGAAAAGAACAATTATTTAAAAAACAGATGTAAAAGAAATACTCTCTTCTATTTTGAAGATGCTAGTTTTTGAAGAATAGAAAATATAAAAGGTGTGTTGTACTTTTTAATAAACTTTTTAAAATACTGCAGAATTAAAAGGCTGCCTTTCAAAGCTGTTTGTCTCACTGTTCTAATGATGCTTACTGCAAGATTTTTCAGTAACTTTGACATTACATTCTATTAGTTTACATAGAGTTTTACACTTATGTAGATTGTTTTAATGAAGTGGATAAACTACATTGTATATCATTAGCCTCTAGGTAGACTGGGAGCTTCAGTTACTGGGATTGATCCTCTGGAGGACAATATTAAAATAGCAGAACAGCACAAATCATTTGATCCAGTCCTGGTCAAGGGAGTACAGTACAAATCCTGCTCACTGGAGGAAATTGCAGAAGAGGCTACAGAAACCTTTGATGTAATTATTGCTTCTGAAGTAGTGGAGCACATGGTAGACCTAGAAACATTTATCAAGTACTGCTATCAAGTGTTAAAAGTAAGTGTTTAATTGTAGCAATGTTTGTTCCTTCTTTAATAAAGTTTTTATTTAAGAAATTAATCAGCACCCATCTGGATCTCAGAGGCTTTAGTGATATCATTACCTAATATTGCAGTAGTATCATGATTCCCAGTAGATCGTGTCCAAGGAACTACACAGTCAAAACCTAATGAAAAGTTCTTTTAGCCTGATTTTTCCACTGATGGATGACATTCTAACAGTTATGTGGATGTCTATAAATATGAATTAACTATGCACTGACATTGTCTGAAGTTAAACATTTGTCTCATGACCTCTTATTCCAACTCATCATTAAAAGTCAAATGTGTTCCTGGAGTGCTTTAAAGAACATCTTGTTTACATTTAGATATACTCAGAATTTGCCTTATTATAATATTCTTGGTTCTGGCTAATAGAAGATGACAGAAGTGACAATGTCCAAACTGGAGCTCTTCTTTAATCCACTGCCTTGTCAAAGTACTCACACCAGGAACATAGTTTATCTAACAGGAACTATTACTCTCTTCTGTCTGATAGGAGCAGCAGAAATTATTCTTTTTCCACCAGTGCACAGGACCTCTAACTATTACTTTTTGTTCTTTGAAAGTGTTTACATTAGGATATATGGAGAAAAAAATAAAATTGTATCTAGAAGTATATTACGTGTGCAATAGCGTCTCATATTTTGCAGTTTATACTGCTGCACATTTTGAAGATGTGCTGGTAGTCATAGCAAAATTCCAGCATGAGGAATTAGTCTTCCTATCTAAATAACTGCTGTATTTTCAGTGGGATAAGTTAAGTCCTCATTTCTTGTCCAAAGCTGCTGTGTTGAGTAATGTTGTTACAGAAGTTAAACCACTGCTGTGTAGGGATGTTACATTTAGAGTAAAGAGCTAATAGAATAGTTGATGCAATTTACATTGACTTTTTGATTAGTTGATAAGACCGCCTCCACCTTTGAAGTGGAGCAACAGCCTTGGGGTGCCCGCTGGCTCCCCGTGGCATTTCAAAGTAGCAGTGCTGCATGGAGGCTGGGGTCAGCGGGGCACTGCTTGAGTCTCCTGCTGTCCGTGCTCCCCGTAGCGCTTTTGCCTTTGAAGTGTAGCAACAGCCCTGGGGTGCACATGGCATTTAAAAGCGGCAGAGCCCAGGATCCACGCGACACTGCTGGTTTGAAGCACCTCTTCTCCTTCCCTCCCTCCCCTCCCCGCCTCTTTCTGATAGAGGCAGAAAGGAGAGAGGAAGCGACTTGTCACTAGTGTGTTGACTAGTCATTCACATCCCTACTGCTGTGTTCTGCTTCAGAGGGAGCTGCATTTCAGTGGATAAAGTAGTCTTTTTGTACAGCCAGTACATTGTTTTAAGGTCTTTAAGGATGAACTATATGATAAGTTTATTAATGTGCTTATTTTTACAAGGGTATGGACTATATACTATTTGAAATAGGAAGTCGGCTAGTCATGACACAGCTCACTTAATGATACCCCATGCACTTCCATTAGCAAGTGCCCCTTTGATCCCATTGGCTGTAGGAGAAATATCCTTGGGCAGTTTTTGCTCTATGGATTTGTTGTGAACAGCCAATGTTAGGAATAAAAGTAGCCCAATTAATCTACTTGTATTTGAAATGGAGAAGAGTGTATATGTTTGTTTAATTTAAATTTTAAAAATAAGGATATTTTCTTTGTGTTTACTGTACACATTCTTAAACTTGTAATTCATCATCTGGTTGAGTATTATTTGCATGTAGTGTCAGTGATGAGCATAGATATTTCTGTTAAAGATTGTTCTTTTTAAATGATCCCAAACCACAAGGATGTTGACTGTTGCACTACTGGAAAGATTCGGTTTTCATAAAAGGAACATCACATCCTGATTTTTCTATCACCTACACTTGTCTTAAAACATTTATGTGTCACAGTGAAAGTAGCTTTAATGCCTACAACCCATGGCTTCTAAATGGACAAATTCTGTACTTGAAGTTCAAAAATGATTAATCTTGTACTTTTTCATTTGAAGATTGTTCATTAAATGTACTGTTATTTGTCTGTTGTTTTAATATTTTATTAGCCAGAAGGTTCGTTATTCATTACTACAATCAACAAAACACAGTTGTCCTACATCTTGGGGATTGTAGTTGCAGAGAGAATAATGGGCATTGTACCAGAAGGAACTCATGACTGGGAGAAGTTTATTTCACCTGAAGAGCTAGAATGCCTGTTAGAGTCAAGTAAGTGTCAAATAGAATGACTGGAGTGACTCAAGTTTTACTGGTTGCAATGGCAACTCTCAAGAGACTAGATAGCTAAGATGATTGGTAAACTTGGATTGAAGGGCTCTGAACTCCTGTTAGCAGCTCAGATTTGGCATCAGTGAAGCATGGCTAAAAATCACTACCACATACTGGCTGGTCAGCTGAGCGTGTAGAGTTGATTGTCTCAGTTCAACTTGAAGAGTAGAGAAATAACTAAAACATAACCACTGTTGAAGCTGGCCTTCTTTTTGGTAGCCAAAGCTTCAAGATGCAAATTCTTGGAATCCACTTGGAGACAATAGTGTTCCATTTCTAGGAATGAGTCTACTCAGTCAGAGTTGAGACACTTAATGTACCAATGTCCATAGGCTGCATGGTGTGAACTCAGGGCTTTTGCCTCCAGGACTGTCATTCTTAAACTTAATCTTTCACTAGCTTTACATTTATTCAGGCAGTTTTTAAATGAAATGTTTTAAGTTGAGAGCTGACCACAGACTTTGTAGTTAAACTTGAGAGAGTATTTTCATCCAGCCAAAATACTGGATCAAAGTATCATGGTGCAAAGCCATACCAAAGATATAATACAAAGTCATACCAATGATCCCAGTTTCATTGCTTTCCTAAAAGACTGATTTTAGAGGTAATCGGGTTTACCCTCAGCCACTTCTTATCTAAAGAAAGTTTTAAAGATCACAGAAAAAAACCCTTTCACTTCACATTTCCTGTAATTTGCTGTAAATAAGCTGTGAACTCAGTTTTTTAGCTTATATCCTATATAGATGATGCAGCATCACAAGTGATATTAAGTAGGAAGCATACAATTGCTCTTTATTTAAACTATTTTCTTGATCCATATTCCACCTCTTCTTATTTCATGTTTCCAGCATCTTTCGATAAACTTGAACAGATCTATCAGTTTTGAAGTGGATAACTTCAATCTGCAAAACTTGACCAACTACAGATGTGCTTCTCATGACTCAGTACTGTTGCTCTAAAGCTCAGTGGAAGAATGTATATTTAGAACTTGCTAATTTTAGAGCTGGATGTTTCATTGACTTAGAATGTCTGAGGATCACCATCTTTTCCCCTTCTTTTATAGATGGCTTTTTAGTCAAGACAGTGAATGGAATGTCATACAATCCCCTGTGGGGGTTGTGGAGTTGGACTGAAAACACTAGCATCAACTATGCGATGCATGCCATGAAATGTAGGGTACAAGAACAGTCAAGCTCAAAAGAGCCACCTTCAGAAACACATGAGGAGCAGCACACAGCTGAAGCTAGTGGAAATACAACTGTCGGAGGCATGATAATAGGGAAGCAGTAGGAAGCTGAAGGAAGATTTCCATAAATAGTTGTAATAAAATTGTTTACAACACATCTGCTGTTCACATAAATGGTAGTTGAGATGTTTTGATTGACTGTGGGTAAAGCTATTACTTATTTTCTCAGGAATCATGCAGCATTCAGAGAATGCTTTCAGAGAGTTTGTTTATTATTATTATTATTATTTCAAACTTTCAGATTAGTCTGTCAGTATCTGTGAAGGGAATGTTACATATGGCTTTTATGGTCTTACTAAGAAAACACAGATTTCAGCACAACTCTGAAGACTAATGGTTTGATGCTGAATTCAATTTGGAATCACTTTTAAAAATGTAATACACTGTGTGTAAATAGAAGGGTTTAAACAAGTTTTAGATTAAACTACCCGAGTGCAGTGTTCAGAAACTTGTGTCTGTATTTACATATTTTTTTAAATGCTCAAACCTTCTGTCCCTCATTCTGTTCAGATACACCAACTACGGGAAAAGAAGGCCTCTGTGCCTTCTATGGTTGGTTACATTAATACTGCAGCCTGGTTCAACTGTGGCAACACCACACTTGAGAATCTGGTCCCTGAATACCAATGTCACACTCTCCCAAAATGGAACCTGTTATCTGGTCCTCCATGTTTAAATATAATCATCATAGTTGAAACATTCACTTTTCTAGCATAAAGCCAAAGTCATCAAGCCAGCAGTTAGGTTCTATGACAGATTGTAATCTAAATTCTGAGAGAGGCACAATCCTTCACTTAATCCACCGGCGTAATGGAGGATTACTTAGTAAAATTCTACTCTGCTCTGAAACATGAGTCTCTAACATCTGGCGTTGCAGGTGCTCATGATCATCTGTCCCCAGTTTTCCTTTTATCAGATGTCCTCAGCTTGCACATAAAGAGATGGGTTTGCTTAGTTTTCCTAACTGCCAGCCTTGCAGAGATAGCTTGGTGCTCTCTTTGTCATGAATCATCATCTGGGAAAGATTCAGCTGGTCAAATTATCCTTTCTGCTTGGTGTAATCCCCTTGCCTTCACTGGCCTTTCATTGGTGCAACTGGCCTCGTAATTGGAATTTACTTGACAATTTTATGCACAAAAAAGTATGGAATCCAATTTGATTGATCAGTTTTGGCTTTGCAATGGTATGTCGGTAATTATTGTATATTTTAAGACCAGAAGCAACTGGTATGATCATCTAGTGTGACCACCAGCATAACAGGCTATAGAACCATTCCCATCAATTTCAGCATCCAGCTCATAACTTCCCATTGCTTTTGGAAAGATATCCAGTCTCAATTTAAAGACTTCAGGTAATAGAGAATCTACCCTGGCCTTGAGTAAATTGTTCTAATGGTTAATTATTATGGATTGCATTATGCCTTTTTCTCCTAGTCTGAAGAGCCCTTTACTATAAGAAATCTCTTCCCCATGCAAGTACTTGTAGATTATTACCACCTTCTCTTCCAAATCATTTATGAAAATGAATAGCAGCAGGCTTAGAGCAGATCACTGTGGGTGCCTACTAGAAATACCCCCACCTCCCCAGAATGATAATTTCCCAGCATGGTTTTGTTAAGAACAAATCATGCCAAATCAACACTATCTTGCATGACGACCTCATAAATAAACTAGGGAAATAGAATTTACATGGAGCTACTATAAATTGGGTGTATAATTGGTTGGAAAACTGTTCTCAGAGAGCAGTGGTTCACACTGGAAGGGCATATCAAAGGGGTCCTGCATGGATCAGGGTCTGATTCAATTCAATATCTTCATAACTGATTTAGATAACTGCATAGTATGTACTCTTATAAAGTTTACAGATGATACCAACCTGGGAGATGTTGCAAGTGCTTTGGAGGATAGGATTAAAAATCAAAATGATCTGGCCAAATTGAAGAATTGGTCGGAATTAATGAGGAAGAAAAGTTCAGTAAGGACAAATGCAAAGTTCTCCAATTACAAAGGATCAATCAGTCGCACACACATAAAATGTGAAATAACTGTTTAGGAAGGAGTACTGCAGAAAGAGATCAGGGAGTCATAATGGATTGCAAGTTGAATGTGAATACAGGAGGCCCCTGACTTGCGATGCGATTGGTTCCAGGGGAAGTGCTACAAGTTGGGGGCATCATAACTCGAACCCTCATTTACGATAGGTGTCGTCGTAAATGTGGCCAAGGATGTAAATCAGGGTTTTTCGGCCCCTTTGCACTTACTAAAATGGTTGTAAGTGTGGGGGGTCGGAACTCGGGTGGTCGCAAGTCAGGGGCCTCCTGTAGTGTAACACTGTTGCAAAAACAAACTTTCTGGGATGGATTAGCAGGAGTGTTGTAAGCAAGACACATGAAGTAATTCTCCGTGGTGATTAGGTCTCAACTGAAGTGGTGTGTTCTAGATGCCACATTTCAAGAATGATGTGGACAAATTGTAGAAAGTCCAGAGAAGACAACAAAAATAACTGAAGATCTAGAAAATATGATTTTTTGAGGGAAGGTTGAAATAACTGGGTTTGTTTAGCGTGGAAAAGAAAAGGGGGAGAGGACCTAATAACCTTTTATGTATTTAAAAGTTGTTACAAGCAGGAAGGAGAAAAATTGTTCTCAACCTCTGAGGATAGGACAACAAACAAAGGTGTTAAATTACAGCAAGAGCAGTTTAGGTTGGATGTTAGGAAAAACTTTCTGAGTGATTAAACACTAAAATAAATTGCCTAGAGATTGTAGAATCCCCATCAGAGGAGATTTTTAAGAGCAGGTTAGTTAAACACCTGTCATGGATAGTCTGTATCAGGGATGGGCAATAATTTTGGATTGAGGCCACTCCATGAATTTGGTAAGTGGTCAAGATCTGCACTCTTTCATTATATTGGGCCTGTGATGGAGGTTGGGTACACAAGGGAGTTTGGGGCTCACTGGGAACTCTTGTGCATTTCAAAGCACGCACGCCTCATGCATCCTGGAGTCAGTGGGACTTCCCATTGGCCCTGGTCTGTATGCAGAGTTCTGCTTTCCTTCTTTGAAATGTACAAGAGCCTCAAAGGAGGAATGCTCCCTACAAATAGGCAACAAGTCACACAGGGTATGTCTACACTACCACCCTAGTTCGAACGAGGGTGGTAGTGTAGACATACCCACAGAGACTAAGTGACTTGCCCAAAGAATATTCTGCCAAATTCCAGTCTTAGTGCCCTACCCACTGCTGTAATGAATCTGTATTAAATGGGTTTGGTTATTTCAGTCCATTTCCTAGCTGAATGTGTATCCAAACCACTAAACCCACCAGCTGGCCTTGATCATCACCACTGAGGCCAAGGATCAAATGGGTATGATGGCTGAACTCTTTTCTCACTGCCAGAGATGATCCTTCTAGTGCAGGGGAGAGGCATACTGATACGTAAGGAAACTTGCACTGCCACTGTCTGTGCTGTACCTGTTCTTCATGATACCAGAAGCACTAAACAGTCTCCCCCCACAATATCTGGTCAGAGGTCTCTCAAAATAATGAAGGATGAATTGCTATAGAATGCTATGTGCTTCTTCTGAAGTTTCTACCATATGAAATCGGTATCAGTGAGGGGAGATCTTTTCTTTCATTTGTATAGGTAGCTGCCCTGTATAATGCTATAGCAACTGCAGCATTCTGGAGGAAAAGAAAATATCCTGAGAATGTGATCTGGCTAAGCCAAACAGAGATGTTTGTTAAGGAGAAACGTACCCATGGGATCAGGAAGAGAAGTAGTTACATGGGCCGAGCCTTGAGGTGGTTCCTTTAGGACAGGGCTGAGGTTACTATGTGATCAGCATGGAAGTACCTGCACTATCTTACGTTATTGCAAAATAACATAGTCTGCGTCTACACAGCAAGCAGTTATTTCAGTACTAACTGGAGTTACCCGGCGTTGCTCAGGAAACCGGAAGAACAAAATGTAGAAAAACAGTAGTCTGTTATCTTTTTTTGCACTGATTTCTATAGGGATTAAAATGTAGGTCCATGTCATCCCTTGGGGGGGAGTGTGACCCCGGGTGGAGGGGAGGTTACACACAGGAGGGGTGCCCCAGCTCGCGCCCGGGGCTGCAGGTGCTGCAGGAGGCAGGGCGGGTGCCCGAGCTGTTGTGCGCGAGGGGGTCGGGGCACTGCGTGCCGGCACGGGAGGGGGAGGGCAAAGAGGGTCACTTATGTAACCTCGTGGGCGGGAGGGGGTGAGTCCCGGATGGTGCTGGGCACCACAGGCAGTGGGCATGGGACCTAGGGTGGGCAGGGCGGCCCCTGCAGCGCAGCGCGGTGGGTTGCTTTTTGATTTTTACAGCTTGAGCTCGGGCCCGATCAGGTCCAAAAGTCCCTTAAAACCTTCTCCTGGATGAAAGGTTATCCCATGCAAAGTTTGGTTGCGGTAGCTCTTATAGTGTCCAAATTATTAGCGCACAAACTTACAAACATTCTCCTTTATATATTAGATAATGTCAAAATGATGTTGAGCTGGAGGACTTCTTACTCTGATTCCTGTAACACTCATTATGTGGGGTAAGGGAAGTCAGAGGAATAGTGCTCTAACTCGGACTTCCTGCTGTGTAGACAGCACCAAAAGCTAAAATAAGCTTTTTTGACTTGCGTTACGCAATTGACGTAGCTCAAGTTGCATAGCTTATTTCGGTTTTAGCGCTGCTATATAGCCAGGCCCTCGCTGCCGTGCCCGTGCTGTCTGTAAATGCTAAATAAGATAAAAGGCTTCTGATTCCACAGCTGTCATCCACGCACCTGTTACCAGTCCCAAACAAAAATACCTTCCCTTTTGAGAATGCAGACTGTCAGGCAGCTGCAAACGCACAATCACTCTTCTTCCTCTAGTTCTGGAAGTTCTCTGAATCGGAAAGAACACTTACACCCTGGGGGTGTGCACACTGAAATGGGATCCTTGCCCTCCCCTGTACCTATCTCTTCTTATCCTTCTGCTACCTTTTTCAGCTTTAACTTGATTGTAGGTAGACATATTAGAAACACCAAATCAAGCTGCGGGCGCTCTGCTAATCAGCTGGGTGGCATTTTAATTCCTCCTGAGTGGCCGCCCAAGCGCGCAGCTTACAGGGAACCCTGACCCTGGTCCATAATTTAGACTTCTAGGCACTACAATAATACAAATAAACAATATTTCACACTAATAATTTGTGCTTATTTAGCACCTTTCATCTAAAAACGTTGAAAGTCACTTAAAAGTATTAGCCCCAGTTTGCTGATGAAGAAATTTAAGCCCAGAGGTGTTAAATGATTTGTCCATGGCCACTCAGGGGCAAAGTCAGGAATACAAGGCAGATCCCCCACACCATATGCCAGCTAGCAGAGCACATGAATCCTGGTAAACCTTTGTTTGCCAGCTCCAGAGTGGGCCACTGCATTGGTCACTGCTCCA